ACGGCACTTAACAACAACAAGCAACACATATATAAGGAGCTCTGGTAGCGTAGTGATTATGAATCAGGCTGCTAACCTCAGGGTCAGCAGTTTGAAACTACCAGCTGTTCCACAGGAGAAAGATGAGGCTTTCTGCTCCGGTAAAGATTTACAGCCTTGGAAACCCTGTACAGGGTCACTATGAGTTGGAACCGACTCCACCCCATATATATGATTATATGTATTATATTCAGAAATATACATATTCCTGAAAAATTCTTGTGGTGTGGTGCTGTAGGATCAGCACTAGACTGAGAACCACAAGGTTGCCGGTTCAAACCCACCAGCTGCTCCTCAGAAACCCTTTACAGACTCACTATCAGAACCAATTTGACAGCACTGAACAGCAACAACAAGAGTATCTCTGGCTTCTGTTTCTGTGCTGTGTCTCCTACCCAGAACAGGGACTGTATCTCATACATAGCTTTTCCCGAGTCTGTGATGTTCTCAGCTCTTGGCCTTGCTCCCTCCACTATGCTGGGTGTCTCATCCTGTCCTGTGAGGAGAAAGCACACTGGTGACACATTGATGAAAACATAGCAGCGTACTAGGCAAACGGGAACAACATACAGTGTTGGTTTAACATCAGCAGAACTGCCCTTGACTGCGATGTGCATCTAACCTGTGCCATTTGGTTCTAGGAGCTCGTGTAAATGCCAAGGACAACATGTGGCTGACCCCACTGCACCGGGCGGTTGCCTCCAGAAGTGAAGTGAGTGATCTCTTATGTAACCTAGTGCCTCTGGCCCCTAGAAAGAGAAGAATTATTTTTACAGAGTTAGGGAGCCTCACTGGTGAACAAAAGGCCTGTATCTTGAATATAGACAGTTACTAAAAATGTCAGCTGTTAATTTGGACAACCCCTATCTGCCAGATATGGTATTAGAAGATGCCTGAGGTAGACCAAGGTAGAACACAAAATCCTTGACTTTAGTGAGTTCTGACTCTGGTTGGGGAGACAAATGTGTAAGCACTGATGTTTGCAAATATCAGAGTTAAGTTGGAGGAGGAAACCCCTAACTGCCTACTTGAGTAGAGGAAGTTTTCTAAGAAGAGATGCTAGTTGAGCTGGTGTTTGAGGGATAAGTTAGGAACTCGTAGGAGCAGGCCAATAGATGGAATGGGGGCTGAGGCAAGGGATACACGTGCTAGAGGACAAGAGTAGGGGATGGGGGGCAGTTGGATGTGACTGTAACATGGGAGTGTATGGGAAGTTGGGTATGATGGCCAAGGCTGGACCAGATCATGAAGGGCCTGCTATCCTCTGAGCTGTGGGGAGTGGACTGATAGCAGAAGACTGATACACTGAGATCAGGAAATGGGCTGGAGGGAAGGGATTCCAGGAAGAAGCATCCATTACAGGGCCAAAGAAGCCTGAATAGATAGAGACAGGGGATGGAGAGGAGGCAGCAGTTGAGAGAAGCTTTGAGGCAAACTTGAGGGTGAGGTGGGAAGGAAGCTGGGTGGGTGGTGGTGCTGTTAACCCAGAAGATACAACAGAGGCAGAGGAGCGGGAGGCAGAAAGCCAGTTCCTTCTTTTTGAGCACGCTGCATCTGCAAACATATCATTAGAATGGAAGCACCATGAGAGCAAGGATCTGTGCTTTGCTCCCTAATGTATCTTGGACTCTATATGTTGTGGTTGTTAAGTGCCGTTGAGTCAGTTCCAAGCCATAGTGACCCTGTATAGGGTTTCTGAGGAGCAGCTGGTGAGCTAGAACCAGCGGTTCAAACTGACTTTGCAGTCCAGTGCATTAACCTACAATTTAATAAATAATTTGTCTTTGAATGTTGGCAATTCAGGTGAAGATAGCTAATAGACAACTATCTCTACAGGTCTAGAACTCATGGAACAAGACAGATGACTGTAAATGGGTCAGCTGGTTCAGGGGGAGCATAAGGGGTGAGACTGTGGATTGGGGGATGGCAGGGGACCCCAGTGAAGCTTGGTTAGGGGGTTGAGCTACCATCTAGGCATACAAGAGGCTCTAATCTCACAGACATGGGGTTCTTGATGGCTGGCCTTTGGTAGCTGATTTTAGCTATATGAAGCTTCTCCTCTGCTCCCAGAGAAGGTGATGTTCTCCAGGTTCACCTAGCTAGAGTACGTGCTTTACTGAGAATGCACTCATGGAAGTCATAGATGTCCATGGTTATCAACAGTCTCAGGAGACATCATTTCCTCTTCTGCAAGTATCTGGAAATCTCTAACTATATTTGTTAATTGACAGATAGCTTAGTGCCCATAATCTTTGTTGCTGTGCTGTGTGATTGGGGTAGGTTTTGTTTTGTTTTAAGAGGTTGGTTGTATTCCCTTTCAGAATATCCCACTAGAATGAGGGAGGGAAATGATCCTCAGTTGCCTGGTTCAGACCCTGGGGAGTTCAGACTCTTCATATATTCTGATCTGAGAAAACAGGGGAAATGAGCTGCTCTGAATCTGCTGCTGTGACCACCATGGGGAAATATTTCCTGGTCTTTTAAGTACGCTTGATTTTAGGCAAACTTAAGTGTTTCTTGGGGAATATAGGCCATATTTCTTTTAACAAGAACTAGGTCATTTTACTTAAAAAAAAAAAAAATCATTATTTTGCTAAAGAGTTCCCTATATGCCAATCACTGTGCTTGGTGATGGAGTTACAGAGGAAAATGAAGCATGCTCTTACAAACCTTGTAGCCTGTTGTTGTTAAGTGTCCTCAAGTTGGTTCTGACTCATGGTGATCCTGTGAGTTTGAACTGCCAGCCTTGCGGTTCAAACCAACCTTGCAGTTCAGCTCATTATCCTGCAGGACGATAGCAGGACAACTGCACATAAAAGCCCTATAACTCCAGTACTTTGTGACCTTTCCAAGGACTCACCACCTTTGTTAGGCACCACTGCAAACATCCTCAAGACATCTATTTCCCATCAATCATCACCTCACCCTCTTTACATATCTTTGTTGTTAATTGCCATTGAGTCAGTTCTGACCCACAGCTATGCTATATAGGGTTTGTGAGGAGCGGCTGATGAGTTTGAACCACCAACCTCTTGGCTCAAGCTGATTTTGAGGTCCAGTGCTTATCCTATGGTGCCACACCAGGACTCCTTAACATATCCTTTTTGTTGTTGTTGCTAAGGGCCAACGAGTTGGTTCCAACTCATAGCGACCCTGTGTAAGGTTTCAGAGGAGTGGCTAGTGAGCTAGAACCACTGAACTTGTAGTTCAAACCAACCTTGCTGTCCAGTGCGTTAACCTACAGCTCCACACCAGGACGAATTCTGTCAATTCAATGAGTGATCAACCTTCAAATCCTAGACAGACACTTGTTCCATATTCAAGTAACCAGCTCCCTCTACAGTTTTGCTAGGGGAAAAAAAAAAAAAAAAAGCCTTTTCAGGAGCCTCTTGCCTAGAAGGAATTAAACCCAAACAAACCCTAAATAGGTAGAAATGGGAATGTGTCTTCATTCTAATATCTGTCACAGCAAGTTGAATGTTTGCTTATGAAAACTGGAGTCTCTTTAACAATTGTGAGAATTGTCTGTGCTGTGGAAATCTTAGCTCCCAGTACGTCACTGTGCAGTGGAAGACTTCATTTCAGATTTCCTTTTTTTGATCTCAGTCTCACTGCCTTTATTTTATGATTCTACTAAATAATTGTTAGGGAAAGGCAAATAGGCTTGCCGGAAAAGAACAGAAGATTTGGACTAGTGTTTGGGAAATTTGCTTTTTGCACTTTCCAAGGAGCAAGTGGGTATATAGTTTCAGAATGAGAGTTGGCATGTCTGTCTCTTGCTTAGATCGTCTAACATGGATATGTATTAAAAATGATTTCTTCATTGAGAGACTTACAAACTCTATACTGTCTTGAAGCTCCTTTGCTTCTAAATACTAGATGGTCAGTTACTCGGGATATAATTAGCGAAGCAAAACCATGAGAGATATGGAGTAAGAGATTTATTACAGGAATTAGACCTTACACAATTGTGCAAGCTTCAGTTTCTATGGTGGCCCTGATGCCATCAGGGTCAGCAGTTGAAAAGAAAAGCTGAACATGAAACAGCAAGAGTAAAGCAGTAATCCATGCCCGTCTTTTCCTGCCTCCAACCTCGAGGACCTGGATGACTTGAGACGGAACTGGCAGTCTTTACCTTGGAGCTGTACACACACCTGGCCCAGAAATAGGAAAAATTGGAGGAGGAGTTGCAGGATCAGAGAAAGCAACAACCTGGTTGGGTGCAGCCCTGTGCCAACTGGAGATCCAACTGATCAGACTGCAACTTCATTTATGTATTCTAAAACGCGTGGGGTTTTCTTTGGCCAATCCGAAACAAACTCTACAAGGAATGGAATTCTGGGAACTGTAGTTTGGTTTGAGTAAGTTGACACAGCCATCAACACTCATGGAAGCAGCAGTCAAGAAATCAAATGACAGACTGCATTAGGCAAATCTGCTGCACAAGACCTTTTTAAATTGTTCAAGAGGAAAGATGTCATTTTGAGGATTAAGGTGCGCCTGACCCAAGCCTTGGCATTTTCAATAACCTCATACGTATATGAAAGTTGGACAGTGAATAAGGAAATCCAGAGAAGAATTGATTTATTTGAGTTATGGTGTTGGAGTAAAATATGAAAAGTACCGTGGACTGCCAAAAGAACAAACAAATCTGTGTTGGAAGTAGTACAGCCAGAATGCTCCTTAAAAACCAGGATGGCCGGACTTCGTCTCTCATAATTCAGACATATTATCAAGAGGGACCAGTCCCTGAAGAAGGATATCATGCTTGATAAAGTGGAGGGCCAGAGAAGAAGAGGAAGACCCACAAATGGATGGACTGGTGAAGTGGCAGCAGTAATCGGCTACCAGCAATTATGAAGCAGCGATTATGAAGATGAGGCAGGACCTGGCAATGTTTTGTTCTCTTGTATGTAGGGTCACTATGAGTTGGAATGCACTCAACAGCGCAGAACAACAACAGCAATGTCAGAGCAGGACCCTTGGTGGCACAGTCGTTTAGGTGCTGAGCTGCTACCCCAGAAGGTCAGCAGGTGGAACCTACCAGAAAAAGATGAGGCAGTCTGTTTCTGTAGAGATTACAGCCTCAGAAACCCAAGGAGGTAGCTCTACTCTGTCCTCTAGAGTTGCTGTGAGTTGGAATCTACTCCATTCATGGCAGTGGGTTTGGGTTTTGGGAATCTCAGAGGATGCGATCCTAAGGGGAAACAGCCAGTACGAAGTAGAAGAAAGTGTGACTAGGGAACCCACTTGCTTAGCCACTGTGCTATGTATCCTGCTTCTCTCAAATCCCATAAGCACTTGTATGTGCATACTACTTCAATCAATAAAATGGGTCTAGTTTTGGCTTTCTGTGCAGCCAGAAGTCCAAATCGGTGGAAAACGTCTCAGAGTCGAACAGGCTAAGCACTTTATTTTATAACTTAAAATTTTAAAACGCAAGATGTTTTGTTTTCTCTAAAAAGTATTGTTATTATTATGAGCTAAATGCTAGTAGAAAAGAGAATAGGAAAATTACATGTTGTTGATAAGTGCCGTCGAGTCGATTCCAACCCATAGCGACCCTGCATAGGTTTCTGAGGCTGTAAATCTTTACGGGAGCAGAAAGCTTCATCTTTCTCCCACAGAACAGCTGGTAGTTTCGAACTACTGACCTTGAGATTAGCAGCCCAATTCGTAACCACTATGTTACCAGAGCTCCTTAAAATTATG